TTTTTGAACTATTGTTACAATATAATAATTAATATTATCCTAACTGCTAAATAACAAAATACTTTATATACCTTTTTTATCACCTTTGATAGAAGGATTATGTCTTGGTTTTTATAGTTAATCTTAAAATCATCTTTCAAGAACAACATACAAAAACCAACCTCCGATTTTAAAAAAATAAAAAAATAAAAATATATTATAAATAATATAGTAAATTGTGTATCAGGGAATTAATATTTTATTCTGTTTCTTTTTACTCACTTTTATTCGAATCAGTATATTCATTGCTATGGTTTTATACATTAACTATAATACCTTTTATTAAACATATTAGATATCTACATATGTAAATTAAAGAGAATTTATAAAATCTATTCATACCTGCTAATTCTAAATCATAATAATGCTTTATAATTTTATTGATTATATTATTAAAGTTTAAATTTCATAGAATTAAATAGAAATATTGTTATTTGCAATTTTTAAGTAACGAAAGCAAAGGTAAGTAAAAAGTTTAATATTTTGAATCGAATTTACTTACAATACCAAAACGAATCTAATACAACTTAAATAAGATATTGCTTCGATCACATACATTTATTAATTAACACTTTAAAGTTATTATAATATATACTAAAGAAATATAACTAAACGCTATTTTAATGATTTAGGGATATAAAACTTATATTTCATTCCTCCCACCATATTTATATCCGATCATCAATCTTCCAGGAACCATTTCTGCCTCAGGATATATTGTCCTTGAAATTGATGAAAAAGAAAAAGTTAAAAAATAGGTTAAATAAAATTATTAATTGATATCGGATAAATTACTCATTATTAATTAACTAATGACATAATATTATATTTACACATTATCATAATATTTTTTTTGTAGATGTCTTAAGTCTTTATATAGCATTTTGAAGAAGATAATTACATGAACCAAAATGTCTCGAAAATTGTCAGGGAAATTAATAAAATGATAACTTAAAAAGAAATTAACATAAAATATGTGTATAAAATGTCTTGTATTTACGACATTCTATCAAGCATTGGATATGTCGCATGCAGATCAATTTTATAATTAAATTTATTTGTATAACAGTAATTGAAAAATTTGCCCTATAGTTAACCATTAAACTTTTTAACATATTCTGCTTATACAAATTAGGTAATTGATAGAATGTCATAAGTTCTATTCATTTATTTTAATAATTCAGCACTTTAGAAAATTTTTTTTTTTTGCAATTACAAGAAGTTTCATCATAAAAAGCTACATTTTTTAAGATCTTCTTAAAAGTTGAAAAGAAAGTATGATTTTGACAGTTAAAATAAATATA